CTCAACTGGGTTGAAAAGGTGAAAACTCAGGGAAAACTCAAGTGCATCCTGGGAGCCCCACTTCCTATTAATTGTACTAGACCAAATCAACTGAGGTACTGGCCACTGCTGGCAGCTACTTCACAGAACCTGACTCGACTAATTTTTCCTAAACAGTTCCTTTTTTGGGGATGGAATAGGAGACATATAGGTGACGGAAAATGTATAAACTTGTGGAACAGGCAGAAAAAGGACACTTTCAGTTCCACAACAGGAGGAAGGGAGACAGGGAAGAAGGGAGACAGAGAGGGCAGAAGGGAGGTTAAAAGTGAAGAAGGGAGGGAGAGATTGAAGAAGGCAGGAAGGCAGGCAGGTAGGCAGGAAGGAAGGAAGGAAGGAAGGAGGGAAGGAAGGAAGATACACTGAAGTTTACCCATGGCAAACGCTACAGAATTTCTTCTGTGTAAAATATCTACAGATTCCTAGGAAACATACAAATTTTATGAGCTCAGACATGAAAAGCCTTTGAGAGATCTTTAAGAGCAGTGTCCATATGCTATTGAAGTTTTTAACCTATACCTTTCACATTTTGTCGAATTGAGTTGTGACTTGGTGACAGTGCTTATACCTTGTGTGCACATCTACAGTGTCACCACAGCATCAGCTACAATTTAAAAGGCAAGGTTAAAATCTCATCTACATAATAAAATGTACCTGATTGAAATATAGCTCAGAAAAATTGACTAAATATTTTAAGGTGTGCAAAAATATTTATGAGTTAAATTAGCTCTTTACTAATACCAGCTAATTGGTCCTCACAGGAGCACACTTATGGGCAAAATTATATTAGTGTTAGTGATAGCCTAACAGACTGAAACACAAGTGGGTAAGTGATATTATATGTATGAGGCTAAAAAGTTAGAAGGGGCTACCAGGGGTATTAAAACTCATGGTTTCCATTCTTGTGCTTTGATTGTGCTGTTTTCCTTCCAAATTTTCTTACAGTTTTTCAAAAGATACCTAGTGATTAACCATTAACATATGCTTTCCCGACCCACCATACCCTCCAACTCTCACAATGAAAAGAAAAATCCTAAACAACCTCAGACAAATAATTCAGTTTCTAAAGGAGGTTCAGTACAGTTATTTTCTAATCGCAGACAAGGTTTTTTGATATTTACAGAAAAATACAACTACCTTGAATAAAACAGTGAAACAATATGGGAAGAGTGACCACAATAACTACAGGAACTGAAAAAGAAGGAACAAACTCAACATAAAGGAAAGAGGATCTTCCTCAAAGCTGGTCTAGTTCTTGCAAAATGGTTTAGACTGACAGGTTTGGAAACCAAAGGGATAGCCACAGATTTGTCATAACATAAGCAACTGCACAATACTTATCATGTCATCACTCCATTACAGTCCATGTTCTGTGCTGAAGAGATGAGATGTTTGGTCATTATTACTGCACTCTGAGTCTCTGCTGAGATCACCCAGAAATGCTACTTTCAGTAAAACCAAGCTGCTATGCCAGAGCCCCTTTATGAATTTTTCAGATAATGTCAGATGATATAAATTCCACCACAAGAACAATTCTGATAAATACAGATTCTCATAAAGATGCATGCTAAGGTGAAAGGAGGGAAATGCCATTCAATTCAAAGTAAGTGTAAGTGCCCTTCTAAAAAAAAGAATGTCACTGTTCTGACATTAGTATCACTAACACTGAAGAAACTACTTTTGCCTAGATTTGCCTAAAAATAACAGTAAGTAGTGTTCTGTCCACAAGACAGAAATTATATCTTCTACATAGCTTAAGCAAAATCTGAATGAAATTAAAAATAGGACTTGTGAGGTCCTAACAGTTTTTCAGAGGTTTGTCCCTTTTTCCTTACCTTTTAGTATGTGCAGTCCAATTTTATGTAATAAACAGATTTTTATTTCTTCTATATCAATGATCTTCTGAATTTATCTACAGGTGATGTGTAAATTTTCAAACAAGCTTATCAAACCCATTTGACCTCTAACAGAACCATAGTGAAATAAGAATGCTGAACAGTGATTCATTCAGTGAGGAATTCTTATATATCTCAAATGCGTTTTTCATTAAAAAATTATATTTATTTATACCGTGCATACTACAAAAGAGTGGGGTTTTATCCTGTATATATAATTCCATTTTAGTTCTTTTCTTTTTTAGACTTTCTGTATTACTTGTTCCTATTAGCCTGGGAGGAGAGATGAGAGTGCAGTACAGGTAACACTACAAAGGTTCACGTGTTTTGGAAAAATGCACCCTTACTGTTCTAATTTCCCTTTCTCACAAACACACTGAGCTTGCACAACATAAAACAAAACAAAGCATATCACTCAATTTAACAAGGCAAAGTAGTCGAGGTTTTGAAGAAAATAAAAAAGATGAAAGAAGAATGTCAGTGAAACAGCTTACTTTTTTGCTATAAAGTTTCTTTTTGATAAACCAGAAGGTAAATTTTTCTTATCGTTTCTGTGGAATTCACAAATGTTTTCAGGGCTTCATGAGTGCACAAAATAAAAAAATGATCAGAGGCTTGTAACTCACAGGAACATAATGAGAATTCATAGAGAAATACTTTTCTTTTATTTTCTACAACTGGAAATACTGATATATTAGATATTGATTCCTACTTTTGGAAACAAAAATACTGAAATGCATAAAATGTACTAAAAAAGAGGAAATCTATATTAAGAGTTTCCTCTAGAAAATGTAATAGGAGTTAAGTACTCAAGTGGACCTAAAAAGTAAGAATAATCAAAATGCACAGCAAAACAATACAACGACAAGCTGAAACAATGGAGCATTTCTGACTCTTTGCTAAGAATAATGTTCTGGGTCAGTAAATACAGAAAAGGAACACATTCTCACTGAAGGAATATTTTATTGTATGCTGAAATATCCCTTAGGGGTTGCTTTGTTTGCTTGTTTTTGATTTTGTTATTATTCGTTTTGTAAAGAAAAGAGTCTACAACACACATCCTAATGGCTTTGGCTGTAGATTGAGCTTAAGTAAATACCATCCCTCTGTCAGTATGTTGTGGTGACTAAGGCTGCCAGTGTGGTTTACCAGCTCAAGCAACATGTGTAAACACAGGAAGCAAAAAAAATTCAGAGGGCAGCCTCCTTACTCTCTGCCTTTCATAACTGCTTGCTCCTTCTCTGTCTCCTGCTTGGGCTCACTCTCTTGCTCACTATATTTCTTGGACTTTTGTTATTTTCTGACAAATCATGCGAGTGAAACACAAAACATTAACACAACTAGACATCCTTTTTCTCTGTCTTCTAATTTTATCCAAAGGGAAAGTTACCCAATAAAAAGTCCAGCATATATTTTCAGAGCTACTAAGTGCTTCTGTCATTAATTTGTTTCGATTGTTTCTATAAAACATGCCTTAATCATACTACAGCACTTTCCATTGCAAAAAAGACAACTTTACAGAACAACATAGTTAACATTATTTCCCTGTTCATTTTGTTTTTTTTTTTTAAAACACCACAAAAATCCAGGCTATAATAAGAAGCACACAAAATTATATTCATCTTTGTTCTGTGACAAGTAGTATCAGCATTTGTATCCCCAAATATTATGCATGTTTGACAAAACAAAATTTCTACTGGTTCACATGACAAAATTCTGGGGTTTTTTTTTTTTTCAATTTTTATGCAATGTAGTATATAAGGAATAAGGATGCACTATTATTTCTAGTAATAATTGGCACTTGCAAAAAGCACCAAGAATTCTGTATTTCACTTTACCTCTGTTCCCTCCCCAGTATTTTTCTTGTGTAGTCCAAAAACTACAACTGTGGTTATGGTGAACAACTACATTTTCTTTTTTCAAAATGTGTGCAAAGTTGGCACTTTTGTATTAACACTAAACACTAATACTCTTTGTTTGGCATTCATGCCCTCATACTGACCAGATCACTTTTATCTAAGTGTATTTTTTTAAAGACACTTACTGAAAATATGGCAATAGTTTAAGAAAAAAAAAGCATGGATATTATTACACATCCCCTTGTAGTGTACGAAAAAGTGCATGACTGGATTTATGTAATAGTACAAGACAAAAAAACTGTATCAAATCAGGTACTGTAAAGCATGCCAGCACCTCTGTATTACTTATATCTAGCAGGTAGTTAAAACAAGACCGTGGTTCTTTTAAAAATGTGCATTAAAGCTAACATAAATGAGTAAAACTAGGCAGCAAACTATTTTTCCTGCTTATCTAACAGCTGAAGGTAACTGTAAAAATTAAGCAAAAAAATTAGAGTTAAACCACCATCAATACAATTGTTTTACATCATAGGCCTGTCAAGGCTCAATATATATATACAAGTGTAACAGCCATGCTTAGTAGAACGTTATCCCCAATGCTTAGAAGACACAAAGACAACTAAGTAGATTGTTTTTTCTTTCTCTTTTTGTTTGTTTGCAATTTTTTTGTGTTTTTGGGGGGATTTTTTGTGTGTTTTTTTGTTCATTTTTTTGTTTTGTTTTGTTTTGGGTTTGTTTTTTTTTGTTCTTTTTTGTTCTTTTTTTTCTCAGGCAAAAGTTATGGGAAGAACAAACTGGTTCTTTGGAGATGACCAAAAGCATTCTAACAGAACTAGGGACAACCGCAGTTTTTCTATTTGTTTTTTTGTTTGTTTGTTTTATTTTGTTTATTTTTTTATGAAGAATCTCTTCCCCCAAATTAAAGGTCCTATGTTTTTGTTTCTATTTAAAAAAAAAAAGAAAAAAACCCCAACAACCAAGAAAGGGGAAAAAGCACCTGGTGTTTTTTTCTTTTGCTAAAAAAGAAAAGATTATATATATATATGTATATTTATGAGTGTGTGTATATATATACATATATATATATATATATATATATATATATATATATATATATATATAAAGGGAGACTGTATATGGCAGTTCAGATGTAGTGGGCCCTCTCTGAGAGCTGGCATTATGCTGTGTCCGTCCTTGACCTCTTGACCTAATCTACTGAAGTGAAAGGAATGTTTTTATGCAGATTGGGGTTCTGGCTGTGCCGGTTTCGGCTACGGACAGAGGAGAACATCATGTTGCACCCAGGGACTTTGCACTTGTGCATTTCTCGCAAGTGCACTGTTTTGTAGTGCACTCTGAGGGTTCCCTTGTTGCTGTACATTTTGTGGCAAATGTTACACATTATCCCACCGTTGCTCACCGAAACACTGTTGAACATGAGGGATCCTGGGACATCGGTGCCCATACCTACAGCTAAGGCAGGGGCATCTGCTTTGTGGGCAGATTCCCCGCTGTCACTTGCCCCATCGACGTCGTCCAGGAGAATACCCTCATCGCTTCCTGCATCAGATTCTCTTGAGGAATGGATACTGCTGCTGGACTGGATGCTGGAGGTGGTGCTCAGGTCTAGTACCATATAGTCTTCTGCCATGCCCCTGCTGTACCCATTCATATGGGAATCCTCAGTGCCAGCAGGTGAGGAGGTGTCTTCCCTTATGTCAAGCCCCATCTGATGCTGGGCGCCATATATCTTCACCAAAAATTCATCACGGAGGTCCTTACTAAGAGAAGGCTGTGAAGTGTCCAAGCCCATGTCATCCAGTTCTTTGGTCAACAGTTTACGGTGCAGGTTTATGTTAGCACTGTGTCTGGGAAAGGAAGAGGGAGGGGAGAAAAGGAAAAATGTACAGTATTTTTGATTAAACATACAGTCAACAAGCACCAAATCCAAATTATGATTTACTGATAATTTCTCATAAAAATATCCTCTATCCATGTTGCTCGGAAATTTCAGTCTTTCTATAAGTGGGCAAATTGCAACATAAAAACTAAACAAAACAAGCAAATTCCCCCCCTTATTGTTTTTCTTGTTAGCTGCTGCTCCTCAGCATTAGACTACAACAGCAGCTACAGGCCTTTTATTTGAAATTTAAAAAACAATAAATTGTACTAGCAGAAAGTACAAAATGATCTTCTTGATTCCTGAATCCCTGCTGACTTTCTTTCTCTTCAAGAGGCAAAAATATTAATATATGGAATGTGTGTCTAGCCATGTCTTTATATACTTATTCATACATAAATACATAAAAAGATGTTTATATATATATATATATATATATATATATATATATATATATATATGTACTCACATAACTCTGTAAGTGAAATACCTGAGCAAAGTAAAATAAAGGTAACCAAAAAAGGCATTGTCAGAGGTCCTGATTCTGGTAATTTAATTCTTGTATAAAGGGATCCAGAATCAGGCCAAATCAAGATGAAGAAGACTTGAGGGGTTTAAGAGAACAAGTCTTTGAAATCTTCATGTAAGTTTCTGAAAATCTTAATCAAAGTTAGTGGTTTCATCCTTCTAAGTTGTCACTGCCACTCCTCCTTTCCTTTTCCCTGCACTGTCTGCATGCAGTGCTGATTGACTCAAGCAGTGTAATGTCCAGCAAAAATCCCTATTATTGGCAGTGAGAATTTTGCCTCAAATTAATCAAAAAACTTAAGCATGATTTGGTTTAGGTATTTGCTGAAGTTACTGCAGATATTCAAGACAATGGAAAACTGTCACTGATGGAGGTAGATTTTAAACCAGATCCCAAGAGCTGCAAATCAAAAGACTCTAAAGTGTTTTACAGGATCTGGGCCTTTGCTCTCAAGAAATACAGCTCTACGTTTGCAAACAATGTAAGCCTTTGGGTTAGTAAATGTGCAAAATAACCTATTATTTGAAACTGCATTCTACTCTCCACTTTTGGCATAGGCTTTATTCATCCACTGCAGTAGAACCTCACTGATTTGCAGTAGTGTCAGGAAACCCTCTTTGAAAATCTGCATTTTCTGAATTAATGATGCAACCAACAAACATGACGGACACCAAAGACCTCTGAACACAGAACATGCTCATTTTGCTGAAGTGCTTAAGTATAGGAAATCAGTGTAAAGTTTTCAGTAATAGAAAACTTTAGGGTTCAGTTTTCAGAATGTGCAGTATTGCTAAGGAAATGACAAATATTTATTCAGTTTCTTTGGAGGGTGACTTGAATTTCGAGTCAGCAAAAAAAGAATTAGCGAAGTTCTACTGCATAACATTCTTTGCAAGCTAAGGACCCAAACCCGCAATTTACAACATGCAGACTCACCAGTCTGTCTGCCCATTATAAATTGCAGATCAGAGCCCAAATGTAGGAGGGAAAAGAAGAAGGGGGGTGGGGAGCGGGAGGAGGGTGGGGAAAGAGAGAGAGAAAGAGAGAATTTTAACATAGGAATAGCTTAATTTGCAAAAAGCACTAGGTACAAAATTGGCAAGGGAAGACATAACAATGATCAAATATTTTACAGACATTCAGGTCCTTCATTAACAAAAAAGGGAGAAGAGGAACAATAGCTATTAGCAATATGTCCTTATTGGAAGCTTTTATTTTAAGAAACCCTTTAAAACATACCTCTCAACCAACTAAAGTCCCAAACATGGTACAGCAATACAATGCAAATAAATAAAACAAATGCAAATGTAGGAAGATTAAATTGATGTGGAGTAAATCTCTGTAATTTTCTGACACTTTGTGATTAATTTATCTGTTGCACATAACTTAAGGGAATAAACAAACAGCAATAGAACTAATCTGTCCCATTCATCTGCAAATGCAAGTAACTGTTCTCTGACATAAAACTGATACTAAAATGTAGTTTAATTGAATTGTGTGTACTTGCAATTATTCCAGTAAGGGGGTGATCTAGAACAGAGGATTTCTCTCCTAATGAGAGACAGTTGAGAGGTATGGGCAAGGGCGAAAAAAAAGTGGAGAGTATTTCTTGGTTTTGTCCCACATGGGAAATACTCTTTTCACACAAGCAAATATAGCACCATTGCTTTTTTGAGGCATAGAAGTGTAATTATGCATATCCCCACACTGCACTTAGGAAGGCTGAGCTTACCTTGTGATAAGATCAGCTTTCTAATCTTTTGCTAAATTGAGATCACAAAAGAGAGAGAGGAGCGGAGAAAAGAGAAAGAAAGGGGAGGGGGAGGAGACATAGAGAGAGAAAGAGAGAGAGAGAGAGAGAACAAATTCACATTCCAATCCAGACATATCTGGTTAAAAAAAAATCTGAAACCAATAAAACACAGACTTAAAAAAAAGTCTTGATTGTGAACCTGGTTTTTGTCAGCTGTAATATCATTTATACTGTTGTCCTGATGGATACTGACTCAATCACACAATACAGAAAACATAAAGCAAATTAATCAAAGTATATTCACACCATACCGATTATTATCCACAAATGAGTTCTGAACAGATGCATGCAGTGCACATACATGAATGATAAACAGTGGTCCTGATGGTCCCTTGCCTTTCTGGTTTCAGATGGAATATAGCTCTGTGTAAAGTTGCTAAGTGCAGTACAGGAAACGCGTACTGTGAAGGCCTGTCCACACTGACCAGAGTTATTAAATGACTGTAAAAGCACATTTGTGCTTATCATCATAAGGCTAACTGAAAACTACTCATAAAGTACTCATGTGTGTACTTATAATTTCTCCCCTTCTCTCCCCTCTTCACTCCTGTGTTATGGGAATTTGTTTCAGCATACAAGCTAGTTAGGATAACTGTAATTGTTGCTTCCATGCATTTGTGCCTTCTATTTCCTTGGTTTTCTGCTGAGAAAAACAACAGTCAGGCATGCAGTGAAAAAAACTTCAGCATTCACTAAATGAAGAGATGAGAATAAAGTGCCATGTTAAAGAGGGGCACCAAGCCCCAGATAGATAAAGGCCATTCTGAGAAAGACCAGTGGAAGGATACAAACTCTGCTGATGCTCTGATAAGAAGAGATGCCTCCCTTATTAAATTCTCACTTACAGCAGTAACAATCAGTAATCTAGTTAAAGTATGTACCAGCCCATAATATCTGTCAGGCAAACGATGTGCAGAAATGTGTGGACCAGTTCTGGCACCCTGCTCAGTAGTGTCCCTTTTCCGCTGTCAGCAGTACTGTTGGATTCTCCTAATATAATTACATTGACTTTTATTCAATTAAGTGCCATTCCTAGCCTTAAAAAGAAGCTACTTTATCAATTGATTCAGGTGTAATGCAATAATAAAGATGAACTCATGGCAGTGCATTAGCTCTGCTGTTCATAACTTCTGAACATAGGTTCATTCATAGCAGTCGATTTCCATTATGCAACCACAGTTCAAAAGAATTGATTCTTTTACATTCATTTCTTAATCTATTTCACTTGTGCTTAATACTGTCCCTAAATATCATATGTGAAAATATTCTAGTGGAGAAGGAGGTATAAGTTGTGAAAAAAATTCATTTATTTAGATACTGAAGTTTTGAGATCTTGTTAAAAACCCTAAAGTCTCAGACCCCCTTTTGCATACCAAACAGACATTTTCCATCCTAATCCAACCCCTTCTCCTCTGCTTTGTCACTCCCAAACCCTAGGAGACCCCTATGAGCCCTCAGCCAATGCTAACCACCTGTCATATTCTTCATCCGCTCCTCCCCATGACACCTAAAGTTTCTTGCTTCAGCTATTCTGTTCCCTGATGTGATTTACACAGTTCCTTATGTCTTTCTCCTCTGCTCCCCGGTATGTGTAAACAGTGGTCCCAAAGTAAGCCGAGGCACAGCTTAGGCAGAGTGATTTGTGCCAATACATGAATACTGCCATCAAACAGACAGAAAATCTTGAAGCAAAATGTGCCAAAACCTGCTGAGCTTCATCTTGCCATGGCTTCATTACTTCTCATACCTCAGCTAGCTAATTTAGGCCATCTCTGGTGTCATTTGCAACACTTCAACTGCTGCTGTATCTGCAGGGAAAAGACCTTAAAGAACATAAATGATTGGGAGAAATAAATATATGTGTATGAAACAAAATATTTGACCTAATTAAATCTATTGAAAGCCTCTGGACTTCCCAGATTGTTCATTTGTACATCAACTACCAGAATGGCATTTGATCCACACAGTGGAAATGTTGTGTTGAGAGAACTGGTGATTGAAGTCTTCCAGACAGAAATATGCCATCAAATGAGTTTAACTAAAGGCATATCTCACTCTGCTTCAGTTACTATACCCATCAGTTCCTAGGGAACAAGGGATGGTGAAGAGGGTTGGTTCTGAAAATACTGTCTGGGGCAAAGAATTTCCGAATACTTGTTGAGGTCTGTACTACATGTCAGATACCCATAAAAATGAAGAGGGTATTTTTTCCAAGATGCTTTGAAATGTAGCTTGTTGTGGCAAGGAAGTTTGAGCAAATTCTAGGACCCAGAATATCTGATTTTTTTGACATAAATACCACACTTTCCAAGTTACTGTTAATTAATGACTTAGATGGAAGGCAAAAGTGTGTGCAGAGCTCTCACTAGACTGAATTTGGCCATAAGAATGGAGCAGTTCTGCCATGAGGATAATAATGATAATGATCATACACATAAGATGTGTGGTTGTGGTGAAATGTCAACCTCTGAGTTCACCGCTGCCTTTTCAGACAGGAATATCAGCAGCAGTGCAATGCAGAATCCAACAACAGTTACAGAAGCTCCCTGATTCTGGGCATGATCCCACTTGTGGTACTATTTTCCTTCTCTTGCACAGTTCATGGAAGTATTCTTTCTTTAACAGA